CAAGGCATCTAATTGCTCTTTTTTGCTTTAGGAGTACTCTTTCCAGGTTGCCTTTTGATGTTCCACCCCAAGTCGCAATGCCATATCTGAGGTGGGACTCGAATAGAGCAAAATATGCAACTTTGGCTACTTCTGGGCTGCAAGCTTGCTTGATCCTACGTATAACGTAGAGACTTGAACTTAGCTTTTTGCAGAGCTGGTCTATGTGGGGTTTCCATGATAGCTTGGAGTCAATTATGATGCCTAGGTATTTTGTGGTGTTTTGTGTTTGTAGTCCCGGTATTGTAATGTCTGTGTTGTTGCGTTTGGTGGTGAAAGTCATTTGAACGGTTTTGCTTTCGTTTAGAACTAGGTCGTTGGAGGTACAGTATTGCTTTGTTCTCTGGAGTTGTGTGTTGGTTTTCTCTTCCAGATTTTCCATTGTTTTGTCCGCAAATGTGAGAACCGTGTCATCTGCGTACATGGTGGTGTGTCCATCTTCCCCAATCCAACTAGGTAGGTCATTCGTGAGAAGGAGGAAAAGGACTGGGCCAAGTACTGATCCTTGGGGTACTCCTCTTTGCACGTCTACAGCTTTGGATTGGGCCTTATACTTAGTGTTGTTCTTTATGTAGGCTATTTCCACAAGCTGTTTCCGGTTACTAATGTAGCTTTTAAACCATTCTGCTGCTCTTCCTCTCACGCCTAGTGTTTCCAGCTTGAGTAGAAGAAGTTTGTGGTTTAGGCAGTCGAAAGCTTTACTAAAATCTAGGAAGAGGCTTGTTGAAGTGCTGCCTTCTTCTAGTTGGTCTAGTATGTGCTCCGTCAGTTGTATTAAGGCTGTGGCTGTCGATCTGCCTTTGATAAATCCATGCTGTTGACTATTGAGAAGGTTGTGTTCTTGAAGATGGTGTAGGAGTTGGGCTAGTACTATCTTTTCGATTATTTTTGAAAATGTTGATATTAGGGAGATTGGCCTGTAGCTGTTTCTTTCTATCGTTGGTCCATTTTTGTATTTTTGGTAGACTTTAGCTATTTTTAATTTATCTGGGAATTTTCCTTGTGAGAGTGATTTATTTATGAGGTCTGTCAGGGGTATTACTATTTCATTTTTACAGTTTTTTAGAAGTTTAGCTGATACCTCATCAGTTCCGGATGAATTTTTCATCTTTAGAGATTGAATGGCCTTTTGCACTTCTTCTTGTGTGACCCGTCTGAACTGGAGTGTGTGATGTGTTGCTGGTAAGTGGTCTGTTAAGGCATTGGTTCTAGAGTTATTGTTATTTTGGAGTGTTCGGTCGGCTATTGATGAGAAAAAATCATTAAAACAGTTTGAAACTTCTATTGGGTCGTCTATTGTTTTATTGTTGACTTGAAGATGGATTTGGTTTTCAGTATTTGGATTTGGTTAGCAGTTTATGGATATAAGTAAGTGTCTTGAGCCCAAAACTTTCATAAAGAAGCTAGTCCCTCTCCTTAAGTCTAGAGCATACTACTCTCTAAAGAATTTTTTTGAGGATACATTTCCTGAATTTGTTGACTGACCTGCATATCCACTTGCCAAAGTTTTGTAAATTTATGTCTGTATTTCGATTCAGTTTGTTTAAATGTATTTTGTATATATTGAAATTCTGACGCCATCAATCCCTTATTGGGTTGACGTTGAAGATGAAGACACGGTAATAAGGTAATCCCTTCTTGGAAAAATTTTCAAAAATAAATAATGTCACTTCACTTCAAATAACAAGTTTTGATTTGTAGGTTATATTAAACCTAGCCTAATCTAAATAACAAGAAAAAATGACCAAGACAGAAGTTTTGAAAAACTTCTCAGAAACAACATTGTAGGCTACATAAGTTAGACCCAGAGTCAATTCCCTTCGTCATAGTACAGGTAGGCTTACCTAGAATTTCAATTCAATTGGCACCTTCAAATGTTGAGCATATTTTAAGTCCGAGTTTGCCCTAGGCCTATGTTTAAATTTCACAGAGCTAGGAGTTTCAACTTTAATTGAAAAAAATGTGTCCCCTAAATTAACTTCATCTTCACCATCTTGATTTAGATCTTGGGTTGATTCATCCTGTGATGTCACGTCTCCACTACCTGTACCGTCCATAAATTTAGCTTTAAATTTAGATAGGCCCTTTTTTTTTATTAAACATAGGTTTATCATTGCCTTTTATCTTGCAAACAGGGGCTAGATGACCCTTTACATTACAAATATGACAGATGTAGTCCTTAGTCCTTGTAGTTGCAATCCGCACTTGAATTTGATTTGGTTGGTCCTACCATGGGCGACAAAACATAATCTTGTTTAAATAGCATATTATGGTTTTCTAGCCTGAGTTTACAGTTGGAAAAAATCACATGGGTTCATGGGTTAAGGTAATTTTGTATTATATTTTGTGTAAATATGCGTGTGATCGAGTTATTCGATCGTCAGTAATTAATTTGTTAAGTAGGTAGCTAAGATTATGAAACGGTATATAACATAATATTTTGCTGTCTTTCTATTGGTCGTCTTCTCAGTCGAGGGTAGGTGGGGAGCTTGTGGTTGGTTGTCAATCTCGTTTTGATTACCCCGACAGATACAGGCTCCTGTGTTTTGTAGGCTAGGGAATCGCAGTGGCCCGCTATTATCCAATGAAGTGGTCTAATGCGGGTCTCGCTTTTTAGTGTGGGCGCGGGTGGTATAGTAGTGGAGGAGTCTCAGTCCATGGGGGTCGGGTTTATTCTGCTGTTGGTATTGTAGCCCTCTTCGTCCGTGCCTGATTTCGGGTCGTTCAATAATAGGCTACTGGGTACAGTATATTCAAAATTGTTGTGAACTACTCGGTGTTATTTTGTAGCTTTTTTGTGTGGGATAGCCCGCGTCCGTCGGTATGTGTGTGTAGGCCGTTGTTGCCGGGCATAGGCTACCCAAATGTTGGGGTGATCTACCCGGCGTTCTTTTGCAGCTTAGTAGTGTGTCAGGCCGGTTGTCTATGTCGGGTAGCCCGAGTCAATCAGTGCAGGGTATAAACCATGTGGGGTAGCCCACGTCCGCCGGTATTTGTGTGTAGACCGATAATAAAGACCGGTAAGGATTGATAAACCTTATTGAGTTAGCTTTTTTTTAACATTTTCATCCCTATTAAAAAAGTACCACTTTTTTACTAATTGCAAAAATAACTATTTTAAAACACTGTTGTCCAGTGATTTTATAATATTAGGGATATGAAAGCCATGATTACGACCTTAATAATAGTCAATTGTCTCTTTATCACATCCCTCAAAAATTCAAATGAGACAGTGGCCCAAGGCCAAATACATCTTTAGTTTCAGGTTTTTCATAACAACAACTAACCATCCTCTAAATTGGGTCTCTTGATGTTTGTCTCTATTTCCAACATCCCTTTCTACCAAAGTGGCCTGGGGAAATAAAAAACAGTTTTTTATTTTCCCTTAACCATTGTGTTTCAAGCATAGGTACCTATAACTTTTATACTATCAATTTCTCTTAGGTACTTTTGCAGTTAACGCAAATTAAATTTTTCTATTATTTTGTTCCCATCCCACAATCTTTTTTTGGAACTTAAGCCTAATCTGCTTCTGGAGCTTTTACAATCCCCTCCTTTACCCTCCATTTAAATATGATTCAATTGATTTTTAGTCTACACCCACTGACTTTCACCAGGAAAAAAGAATCTGGACCTAGTCACGTCATAGATAAAATATACTCCCTTGGTAGATTTCTCATCCTTATGGAACAGCTGAAGACAATTTTATTGTTAGTTCTGTACGGTTTATGTAGAGATCGTTTTTTGTTTAGAATTCGTTCCCCGTTATTACAGTCATTTAAAACCTCGTTTAACCAAATAATACGATCTAATCATAAACAACAACTGTCCCCTAGTTATATAACCAAAAAGTAAAGCACAAATCAAGAAATTAACCCTAAAATAATACAAACAAAATTTCTTTGACACTAGCGCCCAGTGTCACCGTACATGAACTAGACACGAAAAACGTGCTTCAAAATTTACAATGGGATGAGAAGTCGACTTGTGTTGGTTAGTCTATGGTCACGTCTTTCCAGGTTTTTTATTGCACCCTCTTAATCCTCCAATTGCTAGTTATATTTGCCCTTGGTGCTAAGCATTTTTTAGGCAATTTGCTGCAATCAAAAAAAAAAATTAATAATAAAGTTTAAAAATTAATCAAACCATAACATATTATATATTTTCTTGTTCAGTATAAAATTATCTACAAAAACATACCATATTATTGCATGGTTATGTTTCTATAAAAATATTTTTAAAGATGTAAACAAACAAGATATATATATTTGTTTTCATTTTGTAACTTTGCACATCATAAAAATAAAATTATTTTGCTCTGAACTAAAATTGAAAATAGCCATTTTGTAGCAAATTTAATAAGGAACAAGAAAATATATACTTTTATGCACATAAAATAAAAAATAAAATATTATATCTCATTTATATACAGAAACCCTCACCCAAGGATCAAGAGTAGGCATAGGCCTAGGCCTAGGATGCGTACGTTTTCATTACCAACACCAAACAAATCTTCGTCAGGATCACTAAGATCCTCACTAAAACACATACGGATGTCACTACTATCCATTATTTACGTAAAAACACTAAATAATTAGGCCTACATTATAAACCGCTTTGGATGACATAAACAAACAGACTCGGTAACTACGCAGGTTAGCACTGTTTGTAGATAGCAGACAGCTGGCGCGACATCTTGTACACTGGAACGGAGTGAAGTAGATTAAACGACACCTTACGTATCGACTCGCTCGAGTCGACTAGCAGCCGGCCGGGGTGTGGTAATCGACTCACTCGAGTCGATCAGCAGCTGGAGGGTTAATCTATAAGGTTTCAGTGATCCAAATGTGAGTTATTGTAGTTTAGGTTTTCCTCCTAAACTCTATCTGTTATAGTATCTATAATTTTGACTAACCATAAATAATATGATTTTAGGCCATCATATAACAGTGCAATAACTAATGGATGAAATTAAGCAAACAAATGAAGAAGAAATTGACGTTGTCGACTCAGAAGATGCGGAAGAAGAAGAAGAAGAGGAGGAGGAGGACCTGGGAGCTTCGCCCCTCGGCGACCATGGCAGCCTTATGATGGCTCTAGCCTCGACCAATGGTAGGCCCAAATATTCAAATTTGCTAATTTAGGTTTTTGTGGTGTGTGGAATGTACAGTTTTGTTGAATAGAAGTGTTGTGCGAAAAGAGGAACAAGACTTTAGCAGCACTTATGTGACAGAGGCACAAATTATGCACAATTTATAAATTCTGTTAATAGTACTAGGCCTAGTTTTTACTCCCAATTTTACCTAGCTTGACAAACCCATAGAGCTCAATTTGTTACCTTATGGTTTTGTGAGAACAGTATTACCTATGTATTAGATTGATGTGCATGGATAAATTCATCTTGGTGTTAAGTATGTTTTCAAAATTTACAATATGTGTTTGGATGGTAATTCCTTTTAGGCCTATGCTTTGATAAGTATTTTTATCATTAGATTTAATATATCTGAGGAGTCTTTGCAGACATAGGCCCAAAAAGGTGAATAATTTATCAATGCAAATCCACTTTTAGATGACTTTTAATTTTGAATCTGTTTCAAAATCAAATTTTATTCACTAGCAATTACAATTTTAAACAAACAGATCACTGTAGCTCCTGGCTAGCACCTCTGACTGATCTTATTGCAGTAACCACTGGCTTTCTTATGGGACTCAAATACCGCTACAATACATCGCTGTTCTTAGATCACAGCTCTAAGCAATGGTCTATACTGGGAGGCAGTTAAGGTTTTTTAAAGGATTACAATGTGGATATTACATTATGAGAGTTTAAACAGCTTTGCCATACGAGGGACTGGCTTCACCCTTACGACTGACTGCAGGGACAGGCAAGCCTCTGAATCTCAAGAGGGGTAGGGGCCGACCAGCTGGTCGTACGGGCGAGTCTAAGCTCAAGAAACCACTCGGCCTCAAACTGAAGAGATGGAAAGGGTAGGTGTTACAAAGTTAGTTTAAGAAGTTAATCTCTTCTACACTCGTTATTTGGCAAACCAGGCTTTAGGCCAGGTTTTAAGGATTTTGTAGTTTACATGATGGACAGCAGACTTCCATATTGAGTAATGTTTAAAGTATTTATTAACACATGAAACATATAATTTTCAGAATTACTAGCTACTTTAGGTTGTACAGTATGTTTTTGTCATCTCCGCTAATTTTTAAGGATGAGTTTTGCGTCTTGTCAAAAAATCAAGTTTAAAAAGTTTTGTTGTTCACATAACATATTCGCTATCCTTTAAACTGTCTATGTTTCAGTGGTGTATATGTTCCATCTGACAAGTCCCCCCGTCATTCGCTGGATGGAGATGAGAGCCCCGCACACAGCTCAGAGCCAAGCACCCCTGCCACCCCTACCACTACAGCCTCTACCCCTGGTGATGACAAGCTGTTGGCTCCACCCTCACAGGACGATCCGCCGTACTTCGCTGAGACCTGGTAAGCCTCTGTCAGTCAAGACTCCTCAGTCCTTAACATTCAAAAGATACTGTGACGTTTTCCCCCTGATCTTAGTAATGGTTGTAGTGATTTGGGCTGGGTACATACCCAGTGTAGGGTATTTTTAAACGTGAACTTACCAAAAGTTTGGGTATTTATTAAAAGTCGATTACACATGGCAACATCGGGAATATCGCTGTGGTGTCCCTACACTGCTCTCCATTTACCTCTGAGGTCCACTAGGCGCTGTGATTCCACCTGTTCTCGCCCTCAGAACGTTGCTTCTTATCAATGTCACAAAAATATGCAAATATAACTGTAAAAGTCTGATAATAAACTGTTAACTTAATTTTAAATTTTGAGTGAGGACCCTGAATATCCTAATGGTGTCTGACACAGAATTTTATCTTTTGCAGGCCTGGGAAGGTGTGTGTGCTCTGTAACCTAGGCGAACGGTCACAGCTGGGCCAAGGAGAGATGTTAAGACTCGCTTGTCAGGAAGGGTTTGTGCCTCAACGCCCCACCACACCGGGGTTTGTCTCTCCCACCACCGAACAGGAAGATGTTACTGGCCCAGACAAGAGTCCCCGCACTCCCGCACTTAGCTGCCGTCGTCAAAAGAACTGGGCCAAGTGCAGGTAAAAGCTGCTTTTTTAGCAGTGAATTTAAGGCGGGGGGATATATTTATTATACCGCAAGAAGTACTCTTTAGGTTAGTTACACATTTTAACTTTTTTTACCGTAGCTTCAAGTTAGACTAATAACAGAGAAGTAAACTACAGAGGAAACACGCTTATGCGACGACCAGTAGCTCAGCTCTGGTATGTTGTGCTGGAAATATACTTGTGACGAGCAAGGAATAGCCCGAATGGGGAGCACAGGGTCTTCCTCCGCCGTGAGGGTTGCAGCACAAGAGGGCAACAGGGCAGTGTTAGACTTTGCCCTAGACACCATTTAAGGGTATCCTCACTTTTGGGAATGTCTTAAATAAAAATCCAATTTTAGCTTATTTTTAGACTTCATAGTGCTGATATGTTGTGCATGCCCCCCAAAAAATGTTGGTCACAGGTAGAGGTGTGCGGATAGTGAAATTTCAGTTTGGATCGGATTTGGGTCGGATAGTTAAGGCTAGGTTCGGATCGAATTGGAAATTAGAGGTTCGGATTCAGATATTTTTGGATTCGGATAGTTTGACGTTCAAGTACTTAATAAATAAATATTAAGGCTGAAGTTATAATTTTAATATACATAAACTACAATATGAATTGTACACTATTCACTATTGTGATATTGTAAGTCATAAATCTTAGTTCAGTTATAAAAAACTGAAGTTCAAATTCACAGCTCACTCAATTTTACAAAAAAAGAATACCGTACCTTATATCTTGATGCAAACCATGGCAAGGCCATGTCTCAGTGTGTACCTTATATCTTGGTGAAACAATTTATTTGGCAAGGCAATGTCTTGAGAGTATACTTTGTATGTTGATGCAATTTATATGGCAATGTCTCTCAGTGTATACTTTATATCTTGATGCAAACAATTTATATGGCAAGGCCATCATGTCTCAGTGTTTGTATCTTAATGCAAAGAATTTATATGGCAAGGCAAATGTCTCGTTGTTTGTATCTTGATACAAATAATTTATTTTGTCTCATTGTTTGTATCTTGATACAAATAATTTATTTTGCAAGGGGTTTGTATCTTGATACAAACAATTTATATGGCTAGGCCATGTCTCCGTATTTGTATCTTGATACAAACTATTTATATGGCTTGGCCATGTCTCTGTATTTGTATCTTGATACAAATAATTTATATGGCAAGGCCATGTCTCAGTATTTGTATCTTGATACAAACAATTTACAGTAGACCCCCTCTTAACCGACCCTAATGGGACCGGACCTAGGTCGGATAACTCAAAAGGTCGGATAAAACGGGCAATCCCTAAAATCATAACATAATGAAGTGCTATTCATTTGGAATTATATAATCATAATTTTGAAGTCATACTTGCATTATTTATAAAATAAACTACTCTTATCTCCTTTTTCATATTGATAGAAAAGTCACAAATAAACACAAAAAAAGTCAAATAGGCCGACTTTCAGTGGAATATATTATTATAATACTAGGCAATAGTCAATAAAATTCCTATTTTAATAACTTTAATACTGTAATGTATTAATTGATGCTTTCCAAATACATCGTAATACAGTACAGAACCTTTTGTCAACATTAAAGATACAAGCGACCATTTTGTTACAAAACAGGACGTTTATTTATAGCCTCTCACTGGAGGCTCCAGGCACAAAAACTATCTTGACCTTGGAGTTGTTAACCCCCTTTCCCTGCCTTCCTTACAAGTTGCGTTGTTTGTTTACTCCGGCGATAAGATAATCAGCTCTCAAAATCGTAACGCACTTTATGATGTTATAAATTTGCCGCACAGATAACAAATCAGATCAGATGTGCTCGAGCTACGAATGATGATGACAAACTGACAATAGGCTATGCTATATTTTTTGTGCTCAACACAAAATAGCTTATTGTTAGTCATATCCTGTGGAGATAAGCGTATGGTTCAGTTCTCATCGCCCAGCGTGGGAGCGGAAATGCCGAGATTCCTAGAACGCGGCGGTTAAACCGAGCTGCTCTCAAATCAAGGTCGGTTAAAACAAACTGTATTATTTTACGATCGAAGGCGGATAATCCGATTATCGGTTAATACGAGGTCGGTTAATAGGGGGTCTACTGTATATGGCTAGGCCATGTCTCAGTGTTTGTATCTTGATGCAAACAATTTGTAACGGGTCAAATGTGTAGTGGGTAAAATAACGGCTAAACCACGAAACTTAAACACCTGAATGTAAGCTGTTGTTGTGCCCTAGTCGCGACGCTAAACTGACATTGTACCTAACCTCAAATTCCAAGACCACAGACGATGTTGGTGTCAGTTTGGTTGTTTGGTTGTTCGACTGCGTCTGAGGACGGGCTACGGGAGAAAAGAAGAGCAGCGGAGCCACCTTTTGAGTAGTACGCGGCTATAAGCATGTTGAAGCTGTCATGCGCCTGCCTTCGCCGGCACGGGACTCAGCTGACTCTGTTTGTGCTGACCAATCAGGGAGCATTTTAACCTTCGTCTCGAATCTGAGACGAAGGTGAAGAGAGAAGAATAAGGATTGTCATTCGGATTCCCGGCCTTTTAGGTATTCGTTCGTTCGTCTTCGGTTTGAAGAGATTTTGTTCAACTTCTTCGTCGTTTTGATCAGATACGTTGCGCGAGCTCTGAAAGCTTGCCGGTAAATTAAAAGTGGTGTGTTGAAAGTGTTTTGAGTAAACAATAATTTTTGTCATCTTGGTAAGTTTTGAAATAAACAACTCAGGCTTTCGTACCTTACCTTACCAGTTTTTGGTTGGGATAACTTTGTCGAAGTTTGTAGGCTAGGTCTAACTCTCCGATCTAGTCATACATTTTAACCAACTAATTTGGTAAAGTACTGCAGTTGGTGACATCGCTTTTTAATTACGTTTCATAATCCGTCTTGGGACTTTCCTTTTTAGTTCTTAAACCCTTTTAAAAGTTCCATAAACGTCCCAAAGTTTGTTCCAGCAGACAGGTTTCTGCTGGACAAGTTCTGTCGAAGTTGGTTGAAGTTGACCACGTGAGAAAGTAGAAGTTCTAATTTTCGTTTTGGCTCAAAGAGCAGTTTTATTTTTAGTTCAGTTTTTCCCGTTCCGTGTCTCACCTGGGCAACTTAAGCCAACTTGTTGTTTTTTTTTTTTTTTTTTTATAAATTCGGACTCTGTGGGAATTAGGCTAGGCTAGGCCTATCTCATACTAACCTTGTTTGTTACAGGTTAACGTCTCTGTAGGTAAGCGGGGTGACTACTTAGCTTACTAGTTGTCTCGTTAAGTTAGCTAGTAGAGTGTCAAATAGATATTTGCCCACAGAGTCAAGTTAAAATTATCAATTTACCCACAAGCCCCAGACTAGAGTGGTGATTTCAAGGGTGGTGTTTGGTAACCCGCAACGTTCGTCTCGAGCTCTGATAACCAGGGCGGCTATCGAATTTAGGCTATCCAAATCACTATCGAATCCTAGGAAGATCCCCGCGACCAGACTTGGGCGATTCCTGGGATCTCGTTTATCGCATCGGTGGCGTAATTTCCCACGTGTCGCCGTTCAGGAAAATAACGTCACAAATTTATATGGCAAGGCCATGTCTCAGTGTTTGTATCTTGATGCAAAGAATTTATATGGCAAGGCCATGTCTCGGTGTTTGTATCTTGATACAAACAATTTATATGGCTAGGCCATGTCTCAGTTTTTGTATCTTGATGCAAAGAATTTATATGGCAAGGCAGTGTTTCAGTGTTCTTATAAGTCGTCATATAAGTCAAAATCGTCAAAAAACATAGTCTATCCGAAAAATTTGGATATTTAACGGATCAAGTCGGATATCAAATTTGGGCTCGGTTCCGATACGGATATCCGAACCTAACCGAATCCGACCCGATTTTTAGGATATCTGCACACCTCTAGTCACAGGACACCTATGCTTAAGGGTACCATTCAATGTTTCCTCTGTACCTTACTTCTCCATGGACTAATAAAACAATTCCAAGCTAATATGTTTAGAACATCTTTTGTTTTGGAAATATATATTTTTCTTCAAATTACCAATCCAGCTATGAGTTTTAGCTAGGTAAGTGATTAAAGATATATGCCCAGCTCTCTAAACATAAACACATTCACTACCAGGTCACACAAGAGTCCTCACACAGAGGAGTGTGACGGCTGGTCGGTAACGTGTTAAAATAAGTGATTTGCTGTAACTACTCCAAACTAGGAAAGCTGATGTTTTTAGACCTAGTTTGAAATTAATTTAGTAAATTTCCTATTTGGTTTTTAAGTTAATTTTAAACAACAATATATTTGGATCTAAATTAAAGTAGGCTATAGAACGTAATTTGAAGGATCTGAGTGTATATTTCCAGTTAACATTTTACATAACTTTTTAATGTTCTAGGAATGTGGTACTCAGTGGTCAGGAACCTTTGGATGAACTCAGCATCATCGGCTACACTGAGGAACCAGATCTAGTCAGCTTATTCGAAAATGCAGTCAGCCAATGTATGTCAAAGTATTTTTATAATAATTTTTATTTTATTCTTATTAGCAAATTTCCCTATAAGGAAGTATCTATTACCATAGGTGGCACAGAAAAAAAAACCTAGATCCGGTACCGATTTTACTTTTTCATTTTGATGTCCCAGTGGCCAAAATTAATATCCGTTCAAATTTTTTTTTAGGCTATGCTTTATCCTTAAAACAGAAAAACTTCCAATTTTCAGTGAAGCCATCAGGTAGAGCTTAGAAAAACATAGAATTTTGTTTCTTTTTTTCAAAAGCTCTATTTGTGCTTGGCTTGATTGAAAATATGAGGCTAGCACACCTCTTAGTAGTTAGTGCTCTCTGATTGAACTTTGCTTAGTCTGTAGGTTTGCTGCAGAGGGAATATTTAAAAAATAATTATTGGTTGGTTGTGCTTTTTAATCCAATTGCCCTTCTAATACGGGTCTTCCAAGTTTCTGGAGAGAGGCTTGGGTATTGATCCTTAAAACCTCATTTGTTGCCCAGATTAATTTTTAGGTTTATACTGTCACTGTTATTTTTAAAGGCACGTTACAGTTAGGAAAATTTATTCTCATTCTTAAGCTATCACATTCTTATTGAACTTGTCAATAGAGTGTTAATGTTATTTTTCTTTCATAGGGCATGTTTATATCCATGAAAATTGTGCGCTGTGGAGCCTCGGTGTAAGTCGTCCGACGGATGCCGATTTTCAAACAATTGGACAGGTAAACATATCTTGTATGATATTGGAAAATGAGGCTTGAAACCTGTTGGCTAAATGTCTACTGGATTCATTTTACATAATTGTCTAAAGAATTTTATATGAAACAAAAAGAAATTTTTTCAAACACAATTAAACAGAAAACAGAACATCTTTAGAAATTATTTTATTGTTTTTTGCATTTTATAATTTTGTCTCAGAGAAATGTGTTATTAATTTGGTTAATGCTGGTCTACTTAAAGAGAGACCTTTTTGTTTTATTGATTTAAACTATGGTACATTTTAAGGTAGAATTTGTTATGCTTTGATTTGTAGATTAAAGGGGGAAACAGCTAGCTTACCTTAGAGTAAGTACATGTAGGTATAGAAGACACAGAAGAGCAACAACAATATTACGTCCTCTCGGGGACTTTGTCAAGTGTAGAAAAAGAGAGTTCACTAAACAAGTTTGATGTGTCCTTCTGTGTGTTCTATGATTTGCCTGTACTTCTTCTAAGGTACGATATCCCTTTTATTCTACTATTCAAAAGCAGACATGTCCATCTTATTACACAACAGTGCTTAGTGCTTGTACCGGTAACTTAAAAGTGTGTTATACTTGATTTAAATTTCTGTATTTTCACCTCATATGCAAAAGAGTGGGAAGTCTTTTTCTTTTGAAGAAGTTTCTTGCTACATAAAATTTGATTGAAAATCTAAACTCTATGTTTAAGATTCAATGTAAGTCTATTGTCTTGACAGATTGTGGTGTCGGCGGTTTGTCGCAAATGCTCATACTGTGGTAGACTCGGCGCTAGTGTTTCTTGTACCTTCAACAACTGTCAGAGAGCTCTACACCATCCCTGTGCAGGAGCCTCCGGTGCCTTCCAAGACTCCAAGAGCTACAGCCTCGTGTGCAATCTTCACTTGGACCAAGTCTCACTCATGCGTTAGTTACTAACTACATTCTACATCAAAATAACTATTGTTTTCTAGTATTTAATTAGTATTACATTTTGTTTTAAATAGGACTAAAAGGGTTTCCTGTAAAAAATAAAAACAACAGAAGCAATAGCCTAAAAGATTAATTGGACTCTAAGGCTTGGATCTGAATGATTCACTAACGGTTTCAGAAAAAATTGTAATTGGGCAAAAGTAAGTTTGACCTCTGTGTTGAATGAATTGGTGTTAATAATATTAAAAGGTAAAAAGGAATGAGCAATCTTAGGTCATAACTCGCTGTAAATTGTGACTTCAATTAGTGTGGAGTGAATTCAATCTAATTCTAATTAATGCTGGGGAGCGAGCTGGCGTAGTGGTTAGAGCGCGGGACTAAAGTCCCTGAGGTCCTGGGTTCGATCCCCGCCAAGTCACCAATGAATTTAACCAAGTGATAATGCCGCAACCCCTAGGTCTAGCCTGAAGTAATGTGAAAAACAATCCCAGGCTCGTGCCTAGCGTCCTTAGGACAAAAATAAAAAATAAAATTCTAATTCATGCTAGAGTAGTAGACCAGACCATCAACTGTTTTTTTTTGCTCATGAAAATCAGGCATTATATTAGATTTATGTGGTTTAAAGGTGACTGTGTGTGCAGTGGAAAATAGAGATATAAGTTTGAAATAGTAAACACTTATATAATGTGTTTCATAATATCAGTTGTTAAGATACATCATTTCAGTTTTTCTTTGCAGTGAAAAGATATTTTGATGCTGCCTACATTAATAACAAACAGTTTGTAATGAGTAATGTACCAGATGAAATTTGGCCCTTTAACCCAGTAAATTGTAAACAATGTATGGACTTGGCGGAGCAGGTTTGTTTGTTTAGTTTAACTGCTAATTAATTTATCTTACAAAATAAAACACTTGAATCTCATATTTCCATTTGCTCGTTTTCCAGCTGGTCTCGGAGACGTGACGTGCATGAGCTGTTTCTCCCTGGGAGATGTTCGGAACCTGACAATGTGCTCTAACTGCGGTAACCATTACCATGGGAGCTGTGTCGGCCTCGCTTTGTTACCAGGTTTGTGTGACTATTTCTTCTCCTCGACAAAATACACCCATGATACTTGAGAATTTTAGATTTGAGAATAGAGATACTTTGTTCTTTTATTCATTTTTCTGGTATGATACTAAAAGCCTTCCTGACACCATAAAGTGCTAAACCAATTTAAAACCAGATTATACAACTTTTTGTGAGATAAATGTTGCCATAGAATCAGGGATTTTTCCAATTCGTTGTTTGTAGTTTTAGAGACTTTAAGGGAGAAAACTGCTACCGGTATATATCTAGATAACTTTTAATTAATAAGTGCTGATAAATTGTAAAATAAAGATTGTGTAATGTTGTCACAATTTGTATCAATGCAAGAAACAATAACATAGTATGGAGGATATTCTATGGTAGGAGAGCAATGTCTAGATCTAGAGTAAGTAAGGCTGTTCTTTTGTCTTGTATTATAATTATAATTGTAAACATCCGAATTATTTGAAAATTTGACACATTTTGTCTGATGTTCCAAACAAGTTATAAATGTGTATATACTGGAAAATTAAGAATGTTGCACAAAAAAAAACTTTAACAACAGTATTTTCTGTCCAAAACAATACAGATAATTTTATATTGCTTTTAAAACACTTTTTCCCTTATCTGAATTACTCCTGAAGATGATTGATGTTTTGCAGGTGTCCGCGCAGGCTGGCAGTGTCAGGACTGTCGTATCTGTCAGATCTGCAGACAGCCTGAGGACAGCAAAGTCATGTTGTGTGAGACATGTGACAAGGCCTACCATCCACACTGCCTTCGGCCCGTAGTCGCCACAATACCCAAGTACGGCTGGAAATGCAAGGTCAGTACCTGCCCTAACATCAATACATTTGTTAATCAATCTGTTATAATCGACCTAGAGCATTGTAATATAGAATATAGTGGAACAATGCACCTGCTCCCTCTATATCTGGGCTATTCTTTTAGTTTGAAACTATTAGGAAGAGAAATACCCTTAGAAGTACTAATGAATGGTATTGTTTATTCTGTATTTTGTTTTGCCACACACAAAGTTGCCTGAGGCTAAAGAATTTGAGGAATGATGGGGAATCGTAACCTCAACCAGAATAAGTTAAGCACTGCATGCAATAATTACGATTCTTTTACCACCATGAATGATGTAAAATAAACTAAGTTTAATTTACTAAATTTTCCAAAATAAATAGCTGTATTTTGAAAGTGTGTGGGTCTCAGATTTCAGTGCAGGTACAGTTTCGAGCCTCGGCATTTCCAGATAAATTTAAAGGGAGTTTAAATCTCTAACTGAAGAGTGTTCTTCTCTACTAAATGCTTCTAGCATGGACACAAATATTTAGTGAAATGAGATGTCTTATCACAATTTGCACGTTATTGTGTTGCAGTGTTGCCGCGTGTGCAGTGACTGTGGCTCTCGTACGCCGGGTGCCGGCCAAAGTTCACGTTGGCACGCTCACTACACGGTGTGCGACTCTTGCTACCAACAGCGTAACAAGGGATTCTCCTGTCCTTTGTGTCGAAGAGCCTATCGCGCAGCTGCGTACAGGGAAATGGTCCAGTGTAGCAAGTGTAAAAGGTAAGTCTATCCTCACAATCTCTGGGTACAGTTGAGTCGGATTGAGAACACAAGTTTTTAATGTTTGTAGTATATTAAACTAGTTGAGCTTCAAGTAACTGTATTCTGTGATGCAGAATTTTATTAAAACTTTGTGAATCATCCCTTGTGAGTCTGCTTCTGAATACAGTAGAACCTTGATAATCCGGGGTAATGGGGAGGAGGGAGACCGTGGATAACTGAAAACCACAGTTAATCCAACTTGGCATAAAAATATATTACAAACCCAAAAAAACAACCAATACTGTATAAACGGACATTAATATAATAATTAATTTGCATTTTTACATTATCAAAATACAATTAGTATTGTACAATCATGGTATGTTTAGTCGTTAAAATTGGTTCAGTAATAAAAACTGTAAGTTTGTAAATCACACTTAATAAAAAAACAAAATTTGACAAACACAAAGAGCAGAACAATAGAAAGTCTAGTAAGCTAGATACTGCTAATGACTTTAGCCTACTACTACATACTGTTTCAGGACAGAAGAATGTCGATAAAACATAATATAACTAAAAAAACAGCTTAAAATCATAGTAGGCCTACTTAAAATCTGTAAGATATTAACAACAACAGCTGTAAAATAAGATAAAGATAACAATGACTAAAGTTTCCATGGTGATTAATCTCCCAACAATAGGCTACTAAAGCTGTAATGGTTACTAATCACCCAATCACAAACTGTTCAACTGTTGTGATATAGCTAGCACTCAACACAACAGACAGATGTTTAAGGAGCAGACGATTGTCAGTGCAAGCTTTGGTAGCTTGAAAGGTAGCTTGACCTTGAAGCTATCAGTCTGTTTCTTTGTTCTGCTTCCATTTTATTTTTGTCAAATGAACTGTGATGTTTCAAAAACAATAATGAACCTACTGCATTTAAATAATGACCAGAAATAGTTATACAGTGCATTTCAACACATTAGACTGAAGGAACACAATTTATAAAATTTTCTTGAGGCTATGTACTATAATCTGAGATTCATCTAGATATCGACCACGGTTGATCCGCCCCTGGTTAATCGAGGTTCTAACGTACTGGGCTTCTGTGTGACCGAAAAGTGTCCACGTTTGTGCGATAAACGTCAGACTAGATAGAGCTTTTTAAGTAATTAGTCTCAGGCTCTACGGTACGTAAAGAATACAATATGACTTTACTCACTCCATTGTCCCCAATCTACAAATATCTGCCTTGAGAGGTTAGTCAATCGAGGTCCTGTACACCACTACTGAAAACAAGCCATCCAGTTGTCACAAATTGAATTCTCTTCCAATTCATCTTGGGACTTCTTACAATTATTATTAGTTTTAGCGTTTTCACACAACCCAAAATTACCAAGAGACACTGCTTGGCAATGAAGTAAAGAAATCAGGGATACCAAATTATGAGCTAGTTTTGTCCTTAAACAGTGTCTCTTGATACTTGTTATTTGAGATACATTTAAAAAGCACGTTAAACAATAAACTTGCAAAGAACTACATTGTAAAAGTCATCCTTTGCTTTCGTGAAACACATGTTGATAGGCTGATATGGTAATGCAAAATCGCTTCTCAACCATTGACAAACCTTGTTGTGAGGTACCAAATTTTAAGGGGGGTAAAAAACGTACTGCTATTCAACAAACACCATAACTTACCAGTTTTCATCCACAATAACCTACTCCTAGGCCTATGTGTTGGCCCTAGCTTCGGCTATGAGCCAAAGAACGTAGGCCTATTTTTAATCACAGAGAAGTATATATATACACGCTCACCATACATATTTATTCATATTAGAGAAGATTTTATTCGCTGTTTGACCGCCGACTAGCTCGCACTAATACGACCCTACGATTCTATTACGAAGGTTAGCTAACACACACTAGTTAGGCCCCTTTTTACGTTTTACGTTATTTCTGTTTTATCTTTCGCGTACTTAACTCATTATACTTTTTCGTTTTCTTAAATTCCCGATTAGAATTATCTAAATTTAATATCTTAACTTGAGTCTTGACCCGCCAGTTCCTGACTGTCAGTGACTAGCGGTGGTTATCGTTTGGTTTGATTTAAACCCATTAGGTTCAAAATTACGATTTCTCCGAATAATTATTACGTACATTTGTTTAGTTAATTTGACGTTTTAATATCCCGAGACTTATCGATCAAGTTCTAAACCCCGTCTTTGGCGGGTGAAATACCTATGATACATCACTACCTTCCCATGTATAAGTTGACAATATGTACAATAATTAAAACATCAAAAATTCAAGTGGCAAAATAAATTAAATATAAACTTTGATTACAATTCTTAAAAATACACACAACAAAACAGTAAACAACTTCAAAGACATAAAAGACAGTTCAATATCATCAATCAAATTCAGAAAATGTAAATCTTTTAGTCGGCTTGATAACTCTTCCTCTACTACTAGTCTGCTGAAGGGGACTTGTAGGTGAAGGTTGGGGGACGGGTGGAGATGGACGTGGATTGGTACTATTGTTAACAGGAGATGGTCTGGGTGGACTAGGGCTAGGTACATGTCTAGGTGACGGTGTTTTGGTGTGGAGTTTATCAGGATTAGGTGAATGAGGTTTTGGAACAAAATATTCTCTAAGCTGATTTACATGGACTTTGTGAATACTTTTGTCAGATAACACTCTTACCAAATAAACAGTCTGACTAATTTTCTTGGTCACTTGACCTACCACAAACTTTACACCAACATTTGTTTTTTTATTCAGATTTACCCATACAAATTGATCAGGATGGTAGTTTGGAATTCTTATCTTTTGCTTGTCTTTACTTTTAGACAGATTCTTTCTCTTTGACTGATTTGATACAAAGTTGAAACTTACATTTCTTTTTAAAGAAGACAAAGGCGTTTCAGGTACAAAAGTAAGTAGCATTGCCATAGGAGATTTACCCGTTACAGAGGATGGAGTGGAACGATAAGCGTATAGACAATCTAGTAACATTTGTTCTGGTGGCAGATTACAAATTCTTTGACTAAGATAAAATTTAGAAAATATAATTTTAAATGAACGGAACGCTCAGCTAGTCCATTAGATTGAGGTGAATATGGAGGTGAAAACATGAGTTTGATTGACTTCCTCTCACAAAAATCTTTCAATTCCTGACTACAAAATGGCGGACCATTATCACACACAATTGTGCGCGGAAATGAAAATCTAGAAAACACTTCTGCTAGCTTATTTATAACAGCTTTATAATCACTTCTGTTTCTTAGTTCAAAGCACTCAACCCACTTAGAGTAAGAATCACACAAGATCAAATACTTATTGCTACGAAAATCAAACAAATCTAGATGCACTCTTTCCCAAGGGCAATTTGACTTAGGCCAAGGTAGACGATATTGGTTACTACGTTTGTTTTGATGAGACTGACATATTTGACAGTTTTAAATGAATCTATATAGATCGCTATCAAGTGTAGGCCACCATACGTATGACCTTGCAAATAGTTTTGATCTAGTTATGCCAGCATGGCTGAAATGAATCACATCTAGGACTTCTTAGGTTTTCAGGTATTACAATTTTACTTCCAAAAAACAAACGACCATTGTGAACACTCAAACAGTGGCTGTTGTTAGAATACACTTTGAACTCACTGGACACTTTTTTTGGAAAACCATGTTGTACAAACTCTATCACTTTAGACGAAACGTTATCTTTCATGGTTTCTTTACACACTTCATCATTAGAAACCAGAGGAGTGGACAAATAAGTAAAAAAAGAATCGTCATCTTGGACTAAATCAGAGCTTGGTAATCGCGACAAAGCATCGGTATGTGGTATCAATAAACCTTTCTTGTGGACAATCTTATACTGGTAAGCAGACAACATGGTAGCCCACCGTATTAGCTTTGAAGAACCTAAGTTTGGTATTCTCTTATTTTCACTGAAAATACTCTTCAGGGGCAAGTGATCACTACAAATTGTAAAACTTCTTCCCCACAAATATTTGTGAAACTTTCTTACACCAAAAACACAAGCCAGAGCTTCCTTCTCTAATTGTGAATAATTTCTTTGTGCTGGGTTTAGGGTTGCACTTTCAAAAGCTATTGGGTACTCTTTGTTACCTTCAACTTGACTCAAAATTGCACCAACACCAAAAGAACTCGAATCAACAGACAAAATTAATTCTTTTGATGGGTCAAACAATACTAACATAGTTGCTTCTGATAGAGACGTTTTACACTTAGCAAAAGCTAATGCACACTCTGATGACCAGACAAATGGTTCATCTTTTCTCATTAGTTTATGAAAAGGTTCTAAAAGGTCTGGACACATGTGTACAAAGTTTCTGTAGTAATTAAACATTGACACAAATGACTTAAGTTCTGTTAAATTAGTAGGAGCTGAAATGAAATAGACAAAATCTGCTGCACTTTGGTAGCAGACGGTGCTTTACCCTTACCAGACAGCTCAAACCCTAGAAATATCAACGACTGTACAACAAATTCTGACTTATCTACATTTAACTTAACATTGTACTCTTCAAGACGTGACAATACACTGTGCAGATTCTGTTCACATTCGGTTAAATCTTTACCTCCAATCAATATATCATCAAGATAAGGCGCAACCTGATTTAACTCTGACAAGATTGATTCAATAACTGATTGAAATATTGCACAAGCAGAGGCTAAGCCAAAAGGAAGGCGGTTGTACATATAGAGATCTTTAATCGTGTTAACAACCAACAATTGTTTACTTGTTTCATGAACTTCTAACTGCAAATACACTTGGGACAGATCCAAGCAACAAAAAACATTGCATGCCACAAATTTGTTAAAAATGTCATCAGGAGTGGGGATAGGATGTTGATCTACTTTTAAATGCTTGTTCAAAGTGGTTTTAAAATCAACGCACATACGCAACTTGCCGTTAGATTTTGGTACGCAAACCATAAGACTACTCCAATCTGCATGTTTGACTTTACTTATGATACCTTCAG